TTTGATGGGTGGAGGGAGGTGGAAAGATCTGTTGTGAAAAGCAGTGTACAAGAACTTTGTATGTAAATCAGAATAATAGTTTTAAAAAGCATACCACAGCCCAAATGTCCATCAACAAATGACTGGATTGAGACATTGTGGTACATTCACATGATGCAATACAGTGCAGCACTCAGGAGCAGTGGTTTTGAAAAATATAACATGGGAGAGGTTAGAGAGCATTATGCTGAGTGAGCTAACTTAGGTCTATAAAGACAAATACTGTATAAGAACACTATTGTAAAAACAGAGAGATAACCAGTAAGGCTTTTTTGTTATTGTTGTTGTATACCATAAAGTCAGAATCGACCCATAGCTGATCCTCTTGTGGATTTTCAGAGATAGTAAATCTCATGGGAGATTATCCATCCTTCTCTCTTGGAGCAGATATCCAAACAGGTAAGGGGAGAAGGAAGAGAGGATGAGGGTAGTGGTGGTGGTGGTGGTGGCGATTATAATATTATAATGATGTGGGATGATATCAAAAGGAAAAACATACTTATAATTGAAATTCCAGAACAGGGAGGTGACAGGAAAATCACTGAGAAAATTGTAGAATGTCCTAATGTCACAACCTAATTTAGTGGGCAATGTTTTTGACTACAGGATTCTCAATTGGCAGCTTTTTTCTTTAAGAAGTTTGTTTGTTATTCTTGTTTTAGGTGTCATTGAGTCAAGTATGACTCATAGCAACCCTATAAGCACAAGATCCGAACCCAGTCCCATCCTGTGCCATCCTCTCTTCCTGACACAAAAGAGGCCATTGTTATGTTGTCAGTCTACCTGGTTGACAGTCTTCCTCTCCTTTGCTGACTCTCCACCCTTCCCAATATCATGTCCCTTTAAAAGGAACAACACCTCCTAGCATTATGTCCAAAGTATCTGAGGTGAAGCCTCATCATTTTGCCTCCTAAGACCACTCCAGTTGCACCCTCTCAAAGACATATCTGTTTTGTATCCCGTCCATGGAACGTTCGGTGCTCTTCTCCAACAACACCACTCAAAGACATCAATGCTTTTTCTGTCATCCTACTTCATTGTTCAGGTCTCAGATGCATAGTTAGTAAATAGAAAGACCAAGGCCTGAATCTGATGTACCTTAGTCCTCAAACTGACATTACTACTCCTCATTGATTTGGATAGCTACCTAACAGCAGATTTTCCCAGTGCAATGTGCCTCATTATTTCCTCACTACTGGTACCAAGGGTGCTAATTGTGAATCCAAGCAAGATAAAGCTGTTGACAATTTCAGTCTCCTCTCCATCCGTCATGACACTGCCTATTCATCCATGGTTAAGAATTTTTGTTTTCTTGATATTGAGAAGTAATCCATACTGAAGGCTGCATTCCTTGTTCTTCTGCAATAAGTGCCTCAAGTTCTCCTCACTTTCAGCAATGTATGTTGTGTCATCTCCATAACACAGTTATTGAGGAGTCTCCCTCCAATTCCAATGCCACACTCCTCCTCATAGTATCCAGCTTCTCAGATAATTAACTCAGCATATAGATTGAACAGATATGGAGATAGAATGCAACCCTGACACACTCCCTTCCCAATTCCACACCATACAGTGCTCCCCTGCTCTGTTCACACAACAGCCTCCTGGTCCAGGTATAGGTTCCTCATGAGCACAATCAAGTGCTCTTTTTTATGTAAGCGACACAGTCAAACACCTTTGCATAATCAATAAAGCACAAATAGACATTCTTCTGGTATTCCTTACTTTCAGCCAGAAGTCATTTGACATTAGCAATGATATCCCTGGTGCTATGGCCTCTTCTAAATCCTTCTTGAAGTTCTGACAATTACCTTTCTATGTACTATTCCAGTTGTTTTTGAACGATCTGCAGCAGTATTTTGCTTACATGTAATATCAGTGATATTGTTCTGTAATTTCCACACTCAGTTGGATCACCTTGCTAGTGAATGGGAAAAAATATGCACCTCTTTCAATCTGTTGGCCAGACAGCTATCCTCCAAATACCCTGGCATAGACTGGTGAGTGCATGTAAGGCTGCATCTGTTAATTGAAACAAGTCACTTGGTATCCCATCGGTTCCTGGGGCCTTGCTTTTTGCCAATGCCTTCAATGCAGCTGCTTCCACTTCCTCTTTCATTAACATTGGCTCCTGTTCATATGGTACTTTCTGAAGTTTTTCAGTGTCAAGCAATTCTTTCTGGTACAATGACTGTACCTCTATCATCTTCTTTTGATGCTTTCTGGGTCATTCAATATATTTCCCATAGCAATTTTCAACATAATGACACGAGGCTTAAATTTGTTTTTCAGTTCTTTCAGCTTGAGAAATGCAGAGTGAGTTCTTTCCTTTTTGTATTCTCCAATTCCAGTTCTCTGCACATTCCATTATAATACTTTCCTTTGCCTTCCAGTCTGATCTTTGAAATTGTCTGTTTGGTTCTTTCACTTTGACATGGTTTCCTTTACATTTGGCTTCTCAATGTTCCAGTGCAATCTCTAGAGTCTCCTCTGAGATACATTTCAATTTTTTTCTTTCTCCTCTGTTTTTGTAATGATCTTTTGCTTTCTTCATGGACGATAATTCTGAAAGTTGATATCCCTGAAATTCTGATGGAATTGATTGAAGATCATATCTTGGTTCCTGTGGATTTATTTAATTTTTTTTCAGCCTCAATTTGAACTTGCATAATTGATTAATTGCATAATTGAGTAATTGATGATTGGACCCACTGTCTGCCCTTGCCCTGGTTTTTACTGCTTATATTGAGTTTCTCCAATGATTTCTTCCACAAGTATAGTCAGTCTGATTCCTATGCAGCACATCAGGTGAAATCCACATGTAAGGTCAGTCATCTTTTGTGTCTTTTAGAAAAAGTATTTGTACTTAAAAAATCATTATAAAGAAAAATTCAATCATTTTCTTTTCAGCTTCATTTCTAGCACCAGGCCCGTATTTTCCAGCTACTGTTCCTTCTTCATTGTTTCTTACTTTTGCATCCCAGTCACCAATTATCACTAATGTATACTGATTGCATGTACAGTTAATTTCAGACTCCAAAGTATGGTAAAAATTCTCAATTTCTTCCTCTTTGGCACTAGATATAGGAATATACACTTGAATAATAGTTGTGTTACTAGGTCTTCCTTGTATGTAGATGGATATTATCCTATCACTCACAACATTGCATTTCAGGATAAAACTTGAAATTGACTTTTTAACTATGAATACAACACCATCCTTCTTTTTTTCATACCCTGAACAGTACGCCCGCCATATGGTTATCTGATTCATAGTGACCATAGCTGGTCCATCACGTCTCACTAATGCCAGCATGTCAATATTCATGTCTTCCATTTCATTTTTAACAATTTCCAGTGTTCCAACAGTTATTGTTTACATCACCTAATTATCTTCTTACCTGAATTTCTGTTGAGAACTCGGAGCTTAGTCTTATTGGTTTTCTTTGTAAGTAACATTTGATTTTTTACTCCTAGACTACTTTCAATATTCTTTGTCTTTGGTTTTTGGACAATTAGATTCTATTTCTTATTGCTTTTCTTTAAATATCTATCTTATTTGGGGTTTAATTAATTGTCCATAGTATTTTTCAGTCCAGGAAATGTACATGATCATTATTATTCTGAATTCCTTATCAGGAAGTTCCGACAGCCTTTCATACTCTGGAATATTTATTGATTCTGTCTTTTTATCACTCTTTTTGGTGACAACTTGGTGGTTGCTTGTGTGTGTGTGTTTAGTTTGAGGTTATCTGTTACTTTTGCAACATTGTGTTGGTATTATATTTGTAGTCTTTCAACTTCTATCTTCTGATGCCTGTGGTAGAAGATGAAAATTCCTGTATAAATTTCTGTTCATTTCATTTACAGCACAGTTGAATATTGTGTGAGCTAGTTATGGTTGCCTTCTAACACCCATCAGGTGGAAAATCATCTTGTCCTTATTGTATCCCAATCTTTTCATTTCTGTCACCAACTCTATACTTTCTAAATACCAGTCCTTATTTTCAACCTTTGCATTCCAGCCTCCAATTATTACTAATTCATCTTGATTGCATGCTCAATTAATTTCAAGCTTCAAGAGTTGGAAGTAGTCCTCAATTTCTTCATCTTTGCATTTCATGGTTGGTGTAAATATTTGAATCATAGTTGTATTAAGAGAATTTTTGCATATGCATATGGATAGTGTAATAATACTCAGAGTATTACACTTCAGAATACAATTTGAAAGGTGTTCTTTTTATGATGAATGAGTATAACAGATCATATAATTTTCTAATGAGCTTGTAAAACACTACACATCATGGGTAAGCCTAAAAGATATTATGCCTAGTGAAATATCTCACGCCCAAAAGGACAAATACTGTCTAACACTGCTATTATAAAATAAGATTGAGACTGATATCAGGGGTGGGATAAGACTGAGAAAAACTGGATAAATTTTGTATACTGCACTGAAACAGATGAGGGAGAGAATAATTGAAAAGGGATGTAAGATAGGGTATTTTGGTTATCA